TTTGATTAAAATATTGGAAATAAAAAAAAAGCAGTACAACAGGTCGTCATCGCTTCTTGAGGGAGAACCAAGATTTAGGCCCGGATAAAACTGAAGATGTGCGCAGAAGTCTTGCTCTTTTATATGACCCTTTCTACTAGTCTTATGCTACCGGGACCTTTTGGTCCATTTCTGATGGGCTCTCTGGTGATTTCTTTGGCCCCAGCTGTTCCAGTTAGTTACAGAACTACCACATGGAACTAAATATTAAACATCAAAAACCCTCAAAATGGCTAGGAAATTATGCTGCCATTGAACCTTTACTATGATCGCCTGAAATGACACAAATATCATCATTTAATTTTCATATGGCATTAGTGGTGTCAAAGAATTTGTTTACGAGATAACAACGTCTGCCAGTGACAGTGTGAATTGATTATAGTATGTAAGTTCTAAGATGTTCGTTTCCATTGTGATGAAAGTGTGTGTTCATACAACCTAGGAGGAAGAAAGGTATAACCTTGTTAACTAATTATTTCAGGTAGTGGGGAAACTGGATGAGAAGTCAATAAATAATTCTCAATTGACTCTAGATGTGATCCTTGACACCAAACCAGAGACAAGACCCCCAAGACTTCGTTATCCCATCATCATGATATGTTTTTATCTCAGTCAAGTTAAGAATTATAATATGTATTAACTGTGTAATTGTACAGACAATGTAATATTTTACGAAGGACATCTTTGTACTATAGCATATTGTTGCAATTTAAACATTATTTGGTTAATATTGTAGCTATTGTGCTGGAAAATTTACTTATAAGAACAATATATAATACCACTGTTGGACAGGCTTTTATTGGTATTATAGTTATGTACATCTTATGTCTTTTATATTGTCAAGTCTAAAAAATTTTCTCAATTTATAAATGAGTAATTGAGGTAAAGAAGAATAAATCTAGAACAATCTTAATTTACAAAAACAGTTCTGTACACGAATATAATTAATAAATGTAGGGCCAATACAAGAATATTTTATAGAGCATTAGAGTTCAGTTAAAGTTTGATTACGTTTTATTAATAACAACGAAACAGGCTTAGTTTCATATTTTATTGTTTGCGTTATAAGAGTAGGCCCATTTATTAATGTGGTGAATAGGATACATTACCTGTTTTAGCTCCTCAGAAAAAGAGAAACTTCAACAAAGTATTGCGTTAAACTTATCAATGGTTCTGTAAAAGTGTAGAGCATTTGTTTCAATAAACTAATATTGCAAGTATTTAGATAATGGATGCGCTGATCACGTTTATTTAAATTCACTTTAAAAGCATATTTTTGTAGCAATTAGCACGATAGAACAACTATAGTTAACACGTTATATTTATTATTTTCTATACATTTATAAACGGATGTTGCGTCAGCGAGGTCACGTGACTAGTATCACACCACGTCCTTCTCTCGAGCCTTCGTGAATTATCGGGAGACTACTAGATTGGGGGTAGCCTGGTATATATATTAGATAGTCACAACGTGACGAAGTGAATGAGCAATGGAACTGCAGTCAGAGAGTGTGAATTGATTATTGTCGAGCACGAGCATGTGAGACGTTCTAGCGTTTATTATAGAGCGACTGTTGAAATTAAGTATATCGGTAAAGTTGTATTCGGAAAGAATAAACCAGTTTTATTTAGGAAAGGACTTGTGTCGCTAAAGTTTCGTCGGAACGAATTTACGGAAAATTGAGTAACGACTGGAGGCGTAACAAATTGGTGTCAGAAGTGGAATAGAAAATTAAAAAAAAAAGAAGAAGAAAAAGATGGAAACGAGAGGCGGCAAATCAAACTACAGCTTAGCAGATTTGATGGCAGCAATACAAGAACAGCAAAAGAAACAAGAAGAGAGATTACAGCAGTTGTTGAAGGAAAAAGAAAAGAAACAAGAAGAACGAGAAAAGAAACAAGAAGAGAGACAACAACAGTGGCAGCTTGAACAACAAAATAAACAAGAAGAGAGATTACAGCAGTTGTTGAAGGAAAAAGAAAAGAAACAAGAAGAACGAGACAAGAACAGCAAAAGAAACAAGAAGAGAGACAACAACAGTTGCAAGAAAACCTGCAACAATGGCAGCTCGAACAACAAAATAAACAAGAAGAACGAGAAAAGAAACAAGAAGAAAGATTTATGACAAAGTTGCATTTCCATTTGTACCTCTTGCCATTGTTGTTGATTTTCCTGTAGTTGCTGCTGACTTTCTTCCTGTTTTCTTTCTTGTTCCAATGGCCACTGGGGTAATCTCTCTTCTTGTTTCTTTTCTCGTTCTTCTTGTTTATTTTCTTTTTCCTTCAAAAACTGCTGTAATCTCTCTATTTTATTTTGCTGTTCGAGCTGCCATTGTTGTAGGTTTTCTTGCCACTGCTGTTGCAGAATCTTCTCAGCAAACCCTTGTGAGCATCAAGGTGCTGGATAACAAAGGAGTACCAGAAGCTGTACAG